AAACACCCTGAAATGTGTGTGTCTGACATGAATTTGGCATGGCAACATGCCTCTGAAATGAGGTTGAAATAATAATGGAACAGTCTCCAATAAAGGAACGTCTCCATTAATAGCACGGGGCGGAGGTACATTGAAAAAATAAAGGACCGTGCTTATATTAGAGATAATACGGTACGCGCGGGTCCGGGTGGGCTTATCCGCGGGATTCTACGGTAATCTTTGTTGCAGTTTTTTCACGATTTGTGTGACACTGAGTCGTCAGACTGAAGTGGATCAAACCCACCACAAGGCAGTCAAATACTGCGGTATAAAAAGAACCTGCTTCCAAGCAGGACTTTAAAAGTCTCCACCTATTCCAATCGCACAATTTTATGTGTACATGTATAGCAGCTTTTGTGTGCCCAGAATGTGAAGTAACAGTGAACTGAAAACTGCTACACAACTTGCAGTGTTCCTTGCAAACACACATACACACACACACACACACACACACACACACACACACACACTAACACACAAAACAGAATTAACAATCAGAGAGAAATGGGGAAATGAGGACACTGGGATGCCAGAGGGAGGTACTATTTGGCTATATTAACCATAGAAAACACTTCCAGCAATCTTAACGCGGTTGGACGACGAGTGGACGTGAGCCCCTGTGGCAGGGTGTTCAAAAGCTTCGAGGTGGAAACCAATGGTCGGCTGTCGCCAGGTGTTCACCGAGTTAGCGGTACATTGTATTTGCAATTGTCATTGCCACGGGTGTAGGGGCCGTCCGGGGTTACCAATAGTTTTTGCAAAACGAAAAGGTTTAGTATTTTTCAGTACCCACCCACCTACCTTTTCTGCAGGTAAAACGAATTGATTGATTGATTGATTTTATTTTACTTCGCAAGTTCAAACGGGTTCCTGGCCCAGTTATATGAAAGCGAATGATAGAATTTGCCAAAATCCTAATGAGCAACAGCATAGGCAATATTATCATAGAAGTGGAGTACTATGCGAGCGAGAATACTGAGAAGAAAGGAACATGTCAGAACCTGACGAAACACAACCTATTTCAGGCATACATAAGGAAGGCAGGCTAGCTTAAAATCTTGCAATCTGGATACGGTGCGCACCTCTCTAGGCAAACTGTTCCACAGCAATGCTCCTGCGGTGGCGAATCTCGTTTGGCCACACCGACTGCGAGCTGGCTGGCTGAGCAGACCATTGGCATGCTGATGGCGCGTACTTCTGCCGCTGCATGCTGCTGGTTTGAGAAGCTGGGCTAGAGCAAGGCTAGTGGAGTCATTTAGACAACGCCAGATGAAGATCAGGAGTTTTTGTTTGAAAAGTTCAGTGACGCGGTAAATCGAGTTGGCAGCCAGGAGGGGCTGCATCGCGGAACATGGCGGGCTGCCATCAATGCATCGGATCGCCCGGTTTTGCATGGCTTGCAGACGCTGAAGTTGGGTCACGCGGAGGGCTGCAGAGAAGCTGCAGGCACCATATATCATATCCGGCATGACAATAGCCTTTACATATACCTTGCGCGAGCTGCGGGAGAGGCATCGACGGGCTCGCCACAAGGCGCCTATCTTCCTCGCAACTTTGGTCACTATGGCGCTGACGTGTACATCCCAACTCAGGCGGTTGTCAAGAAAGACACCAAGATACCGCGCAGACTTCACTATCGGTAGAGAGGTATCGCAGCACACGATAGAGACCTCAGGCCCGGCATGTTGCGGTGAGATAGTCATTACCTGGCTTTTGGAGGCGTTTAAAATTAGGCCGCGTGACTTAAGCCATATGGCGAGATCAGTGACAGCTGAAGAGACGGATTTGGAGACTTCCCCAGCGGAAGCTTTTGAATCATACAGAGCAATGTCGTCTGCGAATTGCACGCTGGGTATTGGCGATGAGACCGATTTCACATCACGGGTGTAGACGTTAAAGAGAACAGGCCCCAAGACGGAGCCTTGGGGCACACCACAGGTGCAGTCAAGAGCACGACTTGTGGCCGAAGCGACTGTAACTTGCTGCCTGCGATCTGTCAGGTAATTCGCGAACCACTTCAGGGCGACACCAGAGATACCAACGTCAAAAAGGTCTTGGATGAGGATGCCATGCCGGACTTTGTCAAAAGCCTTGGACATGTCGAGGAGGCACAGCCCAGTTACCAGACCACTGTCCTTCGCCTTCTGCAAGCTGTCCGTGAGAACACAGAGGGCATCCTCAGTGGAGCACTTCTTCCTGAAAGCAAACTGAGAATCAGGTAGGGCATTACTCAAGTCTAGATGGCGAACTAGCTGACGCTGCACCACTCTCTCCAACAGCTTTGAGACAACTGGAAGGAGGGAAACAGGGCGATAATTGGTGGGGACTGATGGGTCCCCGGTCTTGTAAAGCGGTACAACTGTCGCCAGCTTGAACGCCAAAGGAACCGTGCCAGTACGGAGGGAAGTGCAAAACAGTACTGCTAAAGAGTATGCCAATAAATCGGAACACTGCCGCAATAGCGAACCCGGTATGCCGTCACTTCCCGTAGCTTTGCGAGCATCTACCTGCTGAAGGAGACGTTGAACGTCCGATGGAGTTACAGGGGAGAACTCGGTTAGGGAGACAGGCCCGTTGGGGCCACACGGAACGCCGAGATGGTCGGGTCGGTTTGTGTCTGTAACAATAGAGTGGAACGTGTTGCTGATCTCATGGACGTCGCAGCACGGATCTTGACGGCACCGTGAGCGCCCTGTCACGGCATTGAGAATTTCCCAGGACTTTCTTGGGTTACCAGCATTCTCTTTGCACTGGGTGGCGAAGTACGCATTTTTCTTTTGCCGAGAAGCGTTCCGAGCAATGCTACGTGCTCGTTTGAACTCAGTGTGAAGATTTCCATTCGTTTTGTCCTGTCTCCAACGTTTATGAATGCGACGTTTTCGCTGCATTAGCCTGTGTAGTTCTGCGTCTACCCACCGTGGTGTGGACTGTCTGGGAGGCTTTGAGTTACATAGGGGGGCATGCTTATCCATAACGTGCATAAACTTGGCATGCCATTCTCTCCACATGATATTTACATCATTGAAGTCAGAAAAGTCATGTAGGTTGGCCTCACAGATATCATGACGGAACGCGGTACTGTCTATCTTATGGATTCTTCGCATGTGCCTTGGGGCCTGCCGTGTAGTCCGGGGAACATCGACCTGGATATTGCACTCCACGGCACTGTGATCACTGATATCAAGAGGTACGACAGTAGCTACAGTTGCATGGGTAGGGTCAGCCAGAATGAGATCAATTATAGTACCATTCGGACAGCGGGGAGTTTCACGAGTGGGTTCTCTAACGATGTTCTTGAGGCCATAGGCGGCACAGAGGTCACTGAGATAGTGATGCTGGGGACCAGGCTGTTTTGGGTCCATGTTGACGTTGAAGTCACCAACCATTGTAATGGAGGCCGATTGCAGCTTGGCACGCAGGATCACCGCTTCTAGGTCTGTCCAGTAAGATACTGATTCCCCGGGGGGACGGTAGATACAACCAATCAAGTGGCAGCCAAGTGGACCTTTTATTTCCAACCAAGCAGACTCGATCTTGTCGGAATGAAGGTCAGAACGGGCTCGAATAGGAAGGTCTTGGTGGTAATAAAAGCAGACCCCACCACCCATCCGGCCGTGCCTGTCATTACGGTGTAAATTGTAACCATGGATACTAAGTTCTCCGTCTGCAATTTCGGGACTCAGCCACGTCTCCGAGATACCCAAGACATCGTAGCTGCGGTCGCGGATGAGGGCAGCTACTTCTGCACGCTTGTACCGTAGGCTACATATGTTTATGGCGCCGATCTTGAGAGGCGCTGCGGTCTGGGTAGGTGGAGGGTGTACTGAGGGTGACTGTGCATGCGGAGTGGCAGGATTCCTAGGGGAGAAGGGTTTGGCAAGAGGGTTCAGCGGCATGAGTGTTCAGGAGGAGATAATTTACAGGAGAAAACGGTATATACAAATAGAGCAATAGATGGGCTGGGTTCATAGAATGTGGACAGTTTTCAACGAGTACTTACTCAGTGGCTTCCTCTGCGGGCAGCTTCAACTCTCTCTGCCAGCTTTTTGCGCTCACGGTTTGAATACTCCTTAGCCCACGCGGATGAGGGCAGCTACTTCTGCACGCTTGTACCGTAGGCTACATATGTTTATGGCGCCGATCTTGAGAGGCGCTGCGGTCTGGGTAGGTGGAGGGTGTACTGAGGGTGACTGTGCATGCGGAGTGGCAGGATTCCTAGGGGAGAAGGGTTTGGCAAGAGGGTTCAGCGGCATGAGTGTTCAGGAGGAGATAATTTACAGGAGAAAACGGTATATACAAATAGAGCAATAGATGGGCTGGGTTCATAGAATGTGGACAGTTTTCAACGAGTACTTACTCAGTGGCTTCCTCTGCGGGCAGCTTCAACTCTCTCTGCCAGCTTTTTGCGCTCACGGTTTGAATACTCCTTAGCCCTCAAATAAAATAATTAAAAATATTGATGTCAATTTTCGACAATCAAATGTAACTCGTAGAAACAGATTGAATTTCCGCAACCCCACCAAAGGTTGTTGTCCTACTACATGTACTATAAATTCTGAACCAAAATTATGCGAAATCCTGGTCAAAAATTGAAAGCTCCAAAATGCACCGTGCAAGTGTATTTCGAAAGTCAAAAAGCAGGTTGGTTTGGGTGTGAAATACATCAAACGTCTCCGGCCAGAAAAAGCAATTTTCTCTCTTGGTTCGAGTCCTGGTGGTGACAGTCAATTTTTTCTTCAGACTTTTCCCGTGTGTCTCTTTCCCTCTAACCAGTTAATATTTCTCTCTTTTCTACAATATTCCGCGGGGTTTTCTGAATTCTGCGGGCACTATTGGATTCTGCGGAAATTCTGCAATCCGCGGAATCACGGAATTCACGGCGGACAGCATAACGCCTTTCCGGTTCGCTTTCATCCAGTTTTGTACGTACAGTCAACCTTGCCAATAGCGACCCTTGATCGTCCGTGAGAAAAGTGTTGTGATTCGTGAGGTTAAAAGCATGTATAGTTTTTTAAAATTATTAATACAATTATCAAGCAATAAACTACTTAGAGTGGATGGATCAGTATTATCACCAGAACTCCTACCCTCTACCGTTTGCATGACCATCCTGCATATCGGTAATTGTTTCTTCACAAAGACAACGAAAAATGAGAATAGGCTATGAGACATGGCACTCAGCAGCTACATGCCTGCTCCAGTCGTCTATGATCAAGTGTGTTGTTTGGCAAGCAATGGGAGAGAGTCTCCAAAAATCGTTCAGACATCAGTTCACCAAATCCATACATGTGCTGGCAGGAAAACCTATGCCATAGCTACGTCCACTGTTCAGATCAGGCAAGTTCTTGCTCCACATAGCACATAGCATCATAGAGTTCTACTGACATGGGCCGGTTTGTTTTCATGCTGGTATACAGCATGCAGTGACTGTTTTACTGAACACCATTGCCCTGGTGTTTGGCGAGCAGCTCATCGATGCAGGCCACAAGACATGCGGTTGGTTCATCGTGCTTGAAGGACCTTGGCGTCCCCTCGTCGGAGTGACCCTTTAGCGACATGACGAAAAACGGCAGGTCCTTGACGCCGAGCTCTTTGCGCGCCCTCTGATGCTCTGCCCAGACTTGCTCCTTGAGCTTGGAATCCTCCATTGCAGCCTTGCTGGCTTCGAGCTCCAATCCAACCTGCCAGTACAAAACAACATTAAAAGTACATGACAAACCGGGGCGGATCCAGGGGGGGGGGGGGGTGCGAAGGGTGCAAATGAACCCGTCAGGATTTTTCCAAAAAAAAAAGAAGAAGAAAAAAGGTCAGGCCAGGCCAGGCCCAGGCTCGCTGCGCGGATCCGCGGATGATTTGTGTGCAACCACGTGATCGTTCTGGACACGTGCTCGCACCAGGGCTGCACATTTGGAATAGAACCTTTTTGGAACTAACTGTTACTTTTTCACCGGCAACAAACTCACTTCGAAGTTCTTTACTTTTGACGTTGCATGTTTCAGTTGTCGTGTTAGCTTCTTTCAAATTCTCACTGCTTGTTCCGACTCCGTTTCCGTGTATGCTGAGCGGAGATGTCGGACACAGCTGGTGGACCAGCTGGTGAGACCATGGAGCCTGCTGCTAAGCGTCGTTGTGAGAGCCATCATCCTTTTGACATTGGGCGATTTGCTGGATTGATGGAGAATGCCAGCAATGATGACATCAAGTCGCTCCTAGATAATGTTTGGAAGCCTAAATTACTTGTAAATTTTGACATTCAATGTGTAACTAATCATACTACTCATCTTGGTGCTATGTGTGAATTATGATATTATACAGTAACACGCATAACATACTATGTCTTTGGTTTACTACTGCAAAAGAAAATATGTAAGTTTCATCCTCGCACCCCTCAGCTTTGGGGTCTGGATCCGCCCCTGACAAACCCCTAGAAACTATGATAAAGGATCAAAATGTTACACAGGGATGAATTTACTGTCACGTTTTTGCATAGCAGTTTTTGCTATGCAAAATCTAATTTGTGGCGTAAGCTACAAAAAGCATGGATCGCCTGTACATGTATGTATCGCAGCTTTCTGCGTGTCACTGTGATTTTTGAGTAGCAGTAGATCGATTTTGCGTAGCAAACTGCGATGCGATACAGGATAAATTCATCCCTGTTACATGTTATCCGTAGTTTGCCCAACACTATATACGCAAGATATTATTGTGTAGTCAGAGAATGCAACAGTTAGCACAATACACACTGATGTGCAACTGACATTCAACGAACTGATGTTAAGCTCCATCACGTCTGGAATGCACAAACCAACAGCCTTCCAACAGCTCTTAATGCATTTGAAGGGTTGAGTAGTGGAGGATAATTCTATTGAGCAAGCCCAGGGGTTTCCCCCTTGTCTCATGGCCCACTTACGACCAACTACTGACTACTGTTAAAGTGGCTCAGCAATGCTGATATGAAGCTGTCTTTACTGAGGTACACAGGACTCTGCCATCTCCATCTCTTGTCCCCCTCCCTCCTTACCCGACCCGACCCCTCCACACACCATTTCCCGTACAACCTATAGAGGTTATGCAAATGATGTCATGGTGATGAGTCAGCAGAACCGCTTATGAGTTGCTATGTATTCAGCTAGTGAGTTGCTTATGTCGCCTATAGAGCCTATAGAGAGCATATAGAGCCTATAGAGCCTATAAAGCCGATAGAGCCTATAGAGGGTATACGAATGATGTCATGGTGATGAGTCAGCGGAACCGCTTATGAGTCGCTATGTATTCAGCTAGTGAGTTGCTATGTATTCAGCTAGTGAGTCGCTCATGAGTCGCTATGTATTCAGCTAGTGAGTCGCTATGTATTCAGCTAGTAAGTCGCTTATGAGTCGCTATGTATTCAGCTAGTGAGTCGCTTTTGAGTCGCTATGTATTCAGCTAGTGAGTCGTTTATGAGTCGCTATGTATTCAGCTAGTGAGTCGTTTATGAGTCGCTATGTATTCAGCTAGTGAGTAGCTTACAACAGGGGCGTAGCACCCGCTACGACTGGTACGACCATGGCCGTACCACTTTTCGAAAAGTGTGGTCCGTCCGGAATGTGCAAAACCGTAATAAAAAAAATCAGGATCCATCGATGCATATGCGCATCAGACTTTGACCTTTTTCTAGACTCATAGATTTGTTATGCATCTGCAGTCGGGCTGAGTCTACTGTACTCGACTCGACTGCATGCACACTGCGCCAGAAGTTCCCAGAACGCAGGATTTTGTGTATTTTTTACAAAATTTTCCCGGGGGAGGTCCCCCGGACCCCCATCCAACAAGGCCTTCGGCCGCGCCAACCTTTGGTCGTACCACTTCCAACCCCCCCCCCCCCTACGCCCCTGTACAAGTCGCTATGTATTCAGCTAGTGAGTCGCTTGTGAGTTGCTATGTATTCAGCTAGTGAGTCACTTGTGAGTTGCTATGGATTCAGCTAGTGAGTCGCTAAGTATTCAGCTAGTGAGTCGCTAAGTATTCAGCTAGTGAGTCGCTTGTGAGTCACTATGTATTCAGCTAGTGAGTCGCTTGTGAGTCGCTAGTGCTGCAACATTGCCAATGCATCTCAACTGATGATGTAATTGCATAACCTGCATGTATAACTACACAAGTTAGATAGCCCTGTGATCAAACAAACAGTGAATCGCTATAACGCTACCTCTTTAGCGGCCTCCAACAGGACGTCCATGTCATTGACGTTGCGTGCATCCTTGAAGTGGATCTTGAGCAGGTGCTCAACAAGACGTTCCTGCACGTCCAAACCCACCGACCCGGCGTAGTGGATCAGACAGTGGGAGCGCGTTGAGTCAGCCATGTGACGGGACGTATCAAAGTCTATGCCCTGGGGGGAAATAACAAGACCGGACCACAGAGTCTGTGACTAGGATGCTGGATACTGAACAGAAATACTACGTGGGCTGCAGCAACACTGGCGACGGATAGTCACTTTCTTCAAGCTGAGATTGCAAAGTACACGCTGCCAAACTTGCGAGCAGCAACATTTAGCCAGGCGTGAATTAAAAGTGTTGCTATTGACGCACATGGTAATGAGACCAGAGCTATTAGGAACACGTGTAAACAATCAAACTTGTCTTGTTCCTCAGTATTGCCAATTGAGGCTGGCATGGCAATATTCAACTCTTTTGAAGTATTTTCCAGCGCGACACTCGATTCCTGTCAAGTACCTTTGCATGTCCCATGGTAAACAGGTCCAGCTTCTTGTCGGCCATTAGCTTGGCGACATCCGCCCCGTACTCGCCAGCTAGCCACTCCAGATGTGGCGTCGTCTTCTCACCCATAAACTTCTCATCCAGGAAAACCTAATGAAGAAAAATGTAAGACGGGAGGGGGGGGGCACTGAGACACGCAAATGGCACTTGAATTTTTGTCATCTATTATATATTTACTTCAAGTACACATCTCTAGACATCTCCTAGGTGTGCAAATGACTGCAACGGAGTCTGCGAGTGCTTAGGAAGCATCTCCTAGCACGTCATAAGACGGCCAACAATCAGTTGAGGTGAAGGGCGAGAGCCAACCATGGCAGATTTCATCTGTATTGAATGTCATGACCCTTGAGACTCGAACATTCCTTCTCTTGCAGGACGACTGACATGACTACTAGAAAATGTTGACCTTCAGCCCCGCCACCACAACACAGCATTTGGGGAACAATGAAAGCTCATTGAAACTCAGACCGACAAGGAAGGAACTTTGGAGAATACATACTTGTAGCTTGCAGAGTAAGATACCGGTAGCTTGCTGTATGTATTCTAAAAAAGGCCACAGACAGAACACAAAATTATCCCTCCCTTTGTCTCTCTCTCTCTCCTTCTGCGGCTCTGTCTCCTTCTCCGGCTCCCTCTGTATGTCTGTCTCTTTCTCGCACCTTTCTGGGGCGCTTCATGTATGCTTTGCATGTGGTTAGGGAAGATGAGCGGGATTAACGAATTTGTCTGCTATACTCTTCATGTAGCTCTGAAATTTCAATGAAATTTTTAGAAGAACCTGCCTATTTGTCCAGCAGTATCCGCAAAGAGTTCAGCAGTGGTGTGTAGTACTAGTAACCACAGCAGTCCATTACTCACCGATCTCCAGCGCTGCTCAAACTTGGCCTGGTCCTTGCGCAGTTCGATGGCCTCCTCGAGATGTCGTTTGCCAACCCACGTCCTGCAAGCAACGCCAGAAGGTTACCGTAGTTGATATCAGTGCATGTGGAATTATTGATGGACTACCGGATAAACCGGTACAATGCGAACATGTAATCGTTTCAGCCCTACTTTATGGCGAACAATTTTCGTTTGCAACGAACCACAAAGTGTAGGCCCACATGTAAGCCAAGTGAACTCATACTGTCATGGGACAAGGCCCTTCCACACTATGTTTCGCATTTTCGGGTGAGTTGGCAAGAATTTTTATTTTTATTTTTGAATATAATTATCGGAAATTTCGCAGAAGCATTTTGGGCTAAAAAAATCGCATAACGTGGAAGGGCGTACATGGGACACATGCCCGTCATCAGGTGTTGCTTGTATGGTGTGAGTGCATCTCGCTTAGGCGAGACCCAAAAAAAATAGAGATTCCCGGGCCCTCCCGCACCAAAATCGAACCAAAGCCATTTTTTTTTTTTTTTGAACAGTTCATACATGTGCAGTACTGATCATGATCGTGTGAGTAGATCTGTGACGTGGAGTCACACAAACCCGGGCTTGTACGACTCCCTGATGTACAGATCAGGGCCATCGTTGGCCGAAATACAGAAAAATAGAACGGGTAAACCGCGTACCTGTTGTCTGTAAAAAAATGAATAAAAATTACCGGAAAATGCTGTAAAAAAAGTTCCACATGCTTGCACACATAAAGTCATGTACGAGGTGATTTGGCTTTTTTTAACATGGTTGTAAATGACGTTTTTTCAGCCACTTCTAGGCAAGCTACGTCCAAATAAATTGTTGCAAGTGAAAGTGCTATCCTTCATGCCTGTTGTCTCAAAAAATGGGAATGATCCCACTTTGGAAAGTGTCTTGAATCATGTCCTACTTTCTTAGTATTCTTAGGGTTCAAATAATTGGTGTGTCATTTTTTAACAAATTTGTAAAATGGCATCACAAACTGGGATATTCGGTCATCAATGTTCTGAAGTTGATAGATATCACTTCAAGGAATGCCAGTGGATGAAAATTAATCTGTCAACTGCATTGTATGCTGCCGCAAAGCCGTGTTTTTGTATTTGTAACTAGTGGCTGTGTCATACGGTAGAATTGGGTAGATAGCATAGCATCGCAGCCATGTTTTCGTTCTCACAGAGTGTATTCCGTGACCTACTGTTCTTCATTGTTGTCTTTAGTGATGGCAGGATGGCCTGACGTCGTCCAAAGGCCCTGCGGAAGCAATTCACTGCCCTCCTCGTCCATTCAGGGGCTTATTTGACACATTTTACACAAAACAGCAAAGCACCCACCACTAGGTATACCGTCGTGGCAGGGAGAATTAAATTATATGCACCAAATTTTCTGGTCAATGTTGATCTACGATTAAACTGGCTCTCATTTGCCACCACCCATGTTTCGATACAGCCATCCGGAGCAGAGAAACAGCCAGAAGAAAAGCAAATTTTACACATTTGTTAAAAAATGCCAAATGTTAAAAAAAGCCAAATCACTTCGTACTAGTACATACCGTATTTCCACAAATAGTAGGCCGGTCTACTATTTTTTCAACCTCGTCCTAACCCGGCCTTATAATCGAGGACGGTCTTGTATTCGAGGACGGTCTTTTATTCTTTCAACCCAGTTTGACCGCGGTCTTCTATTTCTCGCAACACAGTTTTACCCCCGTTCTTCCATTTTCTTCCACACAGTTTGAGCACGGTCTTCTATTTTTTCCCACAGTTTGAGCACGGTCTTCTATTTTTAACACAAGAACAAAGACTCATTCAGTAGGCCCGGTCTTCTAATCGGAGACGGTCTTTTATTTTTTCAATCGCCCCCTGCCCCGGCCTTCTGTACGAGGAAGGCGTTGTAAACGAGGACGGCCTTTTATTTGCGGAAATACGGTACATGGGAAAAAAATAAAAAATAAAATTCGTCCGCCCGCACCAATTTCATATGGGTCCTGCCCGGGAATCTCGATTTTATTTTGGTCTCGCCTTACAAAGAACTTCCAGGGGCGTCGGAAGGTGTTTTAGTGTGGTACGGTCAGCCATCTGAAGTACAGTTTACTCGCGGGGGAGTGGTTGGTGAGGCGAAAATTTTGGAAATTTAAAGCCCAGATCAGTGCATTTTATTGCTTGACGGGGTGCCTGAGACAAAACGTGGTACGGTCAATATGGTAGCGACCATACCGTGTCCGACGCCCCTGACTTAGACTACAGGTGAAATCCTGATAATTCGAACCTCAAAATGCCAGGAAAAAACTTCTAATTATCCGGACATTCTAATTATCCAAACATGAACCCACAACACAATATGTATGTCAAAATGCGCTCACGGTCACGCAGAGTTGCGCTATGGACCTTAGACACAAATTTTACGGACACTGAACTGACCGGCACAGCCTGCTCGTGCAAACTGAACTGACCAGTACAGTGTACAGTGAACTTCGAATTACACTTTGCTAATTTCGAATTATCAGCACAAATCCCACACATTTTCTATGTACGTGGAATCTGTGGGACTTCTAATTAAGGGGGTTCGGGACAGTTAGCCCCAAAAATTTAATTTCAACATCAGCCCAATCTGACATCAGGTTTGAATAGGTACAGCCTTATATTTTCGCTTAGTAACATCAGTTTTTCAATTGCCCGAATAGGTCTTGCCAAAATCACAATTTTCCTTGATGACACAAAATAACACAAAATCCCAAAATTGATGAGAAATCGTCCATAACATCAGTTAGGACAAAAAATTTGACATAAAATTTTACAGACTGTTCGAGGTAATGACTAAGATGATATCAACACCGAAAAATGTACACTTTGGTTGACGATGGGATCCAGGTCGTCATTTCCTGGAGAAGAACAAAAAGACGCAAAAAATGAAACTTTGAATATTTTTTGCAGCTTATTTTTGAGTTTGCCCCATATGTGGATACTTCAAACACGTTCTATAAGTGGGTTGGAACAGGTTTACCGCGGCGAAAATAGGGGTCACCGTGCATATTCTGGAGAAAAATCCAAAAAACTGTCAAAATTTGCCTAAAATTGGTAAATTCACGTATCTATATTGCTTGTACTTCTCTGCTGCTGCTTTGGTCATAACTTATTGGATTTTTGGCTGTTAGGTGTTGCATAAACTCACTAGAGCCCTCGGCGTTCAGAACAATACAAGGATGGAATAGCTGAACTAGTAAATTTGCCGGAAAACCCTGGGTGCACGCATTATCGATAGCTACTTTTCTCCATGATTACTCTCCTGTTGGCACTTGGTTGTGATACATGTACATGTAGCTATGACAGCGCTTAGCACTGCCCCATATCAAACTACAATGAAAGCTGACATGTTGGAACGAATCAGACAACATTGAGTCCTCTTGTTCTTCAACCATGCGAGCTAGAACGTGTCCCCACACTGGCAAAAATGATGGTATTTTACGGTGCGCACAAATAAGTGAAGCTCTGTGCCACAGGGCGTTCCTTACAGTTGGGTTGCTGCTGGTTCTTCGCTAGGTGTTCAGCCACCACTAATATAATCTTCCTTGAGACTGTCACCCGCTTCTTACCTCCGACTTGCTCCTTCATCATTGCAATTTCAATTCATAAGTCCAAATTGAAATTGCAATTTGTATTTGCTCGCAGTGGACATAGTTTGATGCGCTCTCCATGATATCAAGCGAATGGCCGAGGGCCCTCTTGATTGGTGTGAGTTGCCAGTATGATGCAAGCCAGATATGGATTGATCGAAGAAGGATAGATTTACCATCACTGTGGATAAGAGTCATACTGTAGCTCAGTTGGTTAGAGCATTGCTCGCGAATAGCAAGGTCCCTGGTTCGAGTCCCGGTGGTGTGACTGATGATTTTTTCTTTCTTTCATATTTGGCTTGCAAGTGTTGAGTTTCGGAGAGAAAAGAGCAGTACGTGGCATGTGGCCTCTAATTTCCTAAAACTTGCTCCTTCATCAGTCTGGAAATGGCTGGCTCACCACTTCGTTTGTAGGACAAGACAAAGTGCTTCATCACCAACCCACTGGCAGCTGCCCGCACTGCAACTGATTCAGAGAAGCACGTTGCTTGGACCAACGGTTGAAGGGTGGCCAGCCGCTTTTGCTTATGTTCTGCAAACTCCATCGCCGAACATGCTGATGCAAAAGTGACAGAGTGCTACAGGATACTGGCATCAGGGCGAGCTTCGACAATTTCAGCTAGGGCCGCAACATCCGCAACAGCATCATGAGCAGCGAACTCATTCCCAACGATGAACTATAAATCAATCTGAGGCTGTAGCTTGGGAGCTCCGGTATCGCGGTTTAGGGATCAGAGTGTTCACCAATCACAAAAATGCACACCATCGACACACACATCCGTGCACACATACACACACACACACACACACACACACACACACACACACACACACACACACGCACACATGCATGCTCTCACACGCAATAGAACACACGCGCGCGTACACACACAAACATCCACGCACGTGTGCGTACCCACCCACATGCATGTGCACACTCATGTGCATGAGTGGAGATGCCCGCATACACATGTAACACCAACATGCCCTGGGAGCGGTCATGCACGTGTGTATAGTATGTGTGCGAGGGCACGTCCACATGAGCGCATATGCATGCGCATGTTCATACATGCGTATGGTGCACACATGCACAAACATGCAGGTCTACGCAAACACACAGACGCTCGCGGCCGCCGCGCATACAGTGTGCTCATACATTTCCATAGCCATAGGGTGGCAATGACTCCCAAATATCATGAATAAATCTTATGAGATTGAAAAACGCACTTACCCAAAGCAGCTTTGGTGTTGCTTGTGGAAGCACGGGGGCCAGGGTGTTGAGCAGTTACAGGGCTATCTGTATCTATAAAATTCTCCATCCCACACTGCTGACACGGAATGACAAGTACGCTGCCCAGGTCGTGCCTCTTCTCTTCAACGCAATCAATGAGCGCCAGAGGTTTGCCACATCCAGGATTCTGGCACGCAGA